GACCTCTGTGGGCACTAGGCATGCATGTGGTGTAGACATATACATGCAGGCAAACACATAAAATTAAATTTTTTTCTTTTTTCTTATTTTCTTTTTACTAAAAATAGGGAGAGGGTTGCCGGGCGTTGGTGGTGCACACCTTTAATCCCAGCACTCGGGAGGCAGAGGCAGGCGGATCTCTGTGAGTTCGAGGCCAGCCTGGTCTACAGAGCGAGTTCCAGGACAGCCTCCAAAGCCAGAGAAACCCTGCTCGAAAAAACCAAAAAAAAAAAAAAAAAAAAAATAGGGAGAGGGAAAAAAAAAGCTGGACAGAGGCAGAGGCAGGTGGATCTCTGTGAGTTCAAGGCCAACCTGTTTTACAAAAATGAGTTCCAGGATGGCCAAGGCTACACAGAGAAACCTTGTCTTGAAAAACCAAAAAGAGGGCTGGAGAGATGGCTCAGCAGTTAAGAGCACTGACTGTTCTTCCAGAGGTCCTGAGTTCAATTCCCAGCAACCACATGATGGCTCACAACCACCTTGAATGATATCTGGTGTACTCCGATGGCATGCAGGCAGAAGACTGTATACACAATAAATAAATAAAATATTAAAAAAAAGAAAAAAGAAAAACCAAAAAGAGCCAGGCGTTGGGGCACATGCCTTTAATCCCAGCACTCGGGAAGCAGAGGCAGGCGGATCTCTGTGAGTTGGAGGCCAGCCTGGTCTACAGAGCGAGTTCCAGGACAGCCTACAAAAACAATACTGAGAAACCCTGTCTTGAAAAACAAAACAAACAAGAAAGAAAGAAGGAAGGAAGGAAGGAAGGAAGGAAGGAAGGAAGGAAGGAAGGAAGGAAGGAAAAAATAAACTGGGCACATTGTACAAGCTTTGAGCTGTGTGCCGACAAAGAGAAAATGGAGAACAATACTCAGCATTTGGTAACAGTCAGTTTTGTTTTCACTGAGGATTCACTCTTCAGCAGTATATGGGAATCTGGCTACTCAAGGTATAGTTCCCTATCTTAGCACCACCCAAAAACTAGAGTGAAATACACTCAGACCCAAGACAAGCAGGTCATCCGAAGACACATTCAGGATGAGAAGCAGGAATGTAGGGCCCTTCAAGAGAGTGCTTACAGCACTGCACAGAGAGCAGCAGTAGCCAAATAAAGAGACAAACTACCTGTTCACTTCAGCAGATCATATTTTATTAGGTACTAATTAAACAGACCTCCCCTCCCCCCCCTTTTTTTAAAAAAGAAATGTACTACATGCCGGGTGGTGGTGGCCCATGCCTTTAATCCCAGCACTTGAGAGGCAGAGGCAAGTGTATCTCTGTGAGTTCCAGACCAGAGTTAGTTCCAGGACAGCTAGGGCTGGTACACAGAAATATCCTGCCTCCAAAAATCAAAATAAACAAACAAATAAATAAAAGAAATGTGATACTGAACATGAGATTTATTTCCCTTCCTAAAACAACACAACTTAGTTCTAATACTTTAGTGAACAAAAAATTTGAGGCAGTTTAACTGTTCCAAAACACAATAATGGTCAATTTTTTTCAAGTTCTCACACTAAGTTGGGGCACCTCCCCACAAGCCCCATTAATTCCTACAGATTCCCAGGAGTACCATTAAATCCTCCAGCATCCCTAGGAAGCAGGTGCCTGGCAAATGTCCAGTTTCCAAATGAGATTCAGTATTTGGGCCTTGAAATACTATATTCCCTGCCCTGTCCTACTGGTATAGCTTCTCAGATTCAAACTCCCTCCCTCCTGCCTCCTGCAGCTGCACATTCAAGTACTTCCCAAAAGGAAGAAAGGTCAGAGAAGTCATTGTCCCCTAAGCATTTGAAACTCCAGCTGTGGAGAAATGAATCAAGGGTTCAAGGCTGAAAAGCCCTATGCAAAAATATGGAGAGGAAAAGAGAAATATTAGGGAAATATTAGGGACCTATTAAGACAAGATGTCCCAGGTGTATGAAGATTTTTAAAATGAGGGCTGTGAGAAAAGATGGACATTTTCAGATATTCAAGATGAAGGAGAGAAAGATATACAGTTTTTCTTTCTTTTCATTCATTTATTTTTTTTTTTTTTTGGTTTTATGAGACAGGGTTTCTCTGTTTTGGAGGCTGTCGGTCCAGCCTGGCCTCGAACACACAGAGATCCGCCTGCCTCTGCCTCCCGAGTGCTGGGATTAAAGGCGTGCGCCACCAACGCCCGGCTCATTCATTTATTTTTGAGGCAGTCTCTAAATAGCCTTGGCTGTCCTAGAACTCACTATGTAGAACAGGCTGGCCTCAAACTCACAGATCTGTTTGTTTCAGACAGGTTCTTGTTATATGACCCTAGCTAGCCTGGAACTTATCATATGGACCAGGCAACCCTCAAATTTGCAACAATCCTCCTGCCACAATTGCTGGGATCAAAGACACAAAAACTAGTAAGAGCTTCACCAGAAACTTACAGGAAGTAAAGCATCCGAGGACTGAGAGTTCTAAGAACAACCAAAAATTACAAGAGGATTCCTTTACATTTTGACAGCAGCAACAGATCAGGCAGCCCTGGTCTTGTGGCCACCTCCAACAAAGAGGAAGAGAGAAGAGAATCGTTATCATCACCAGATAAGCAGAACAGTGTCCAACAGAAACCAGAAACCAGAAAAATGCCTAGACAGACAGTGAACCAAAAGAGAATTCCTATTAGAAGAAAGATAAACTACATATAAAAACTGTGACCCAGGCATGGTAGTTCTTTCTGGGGGGCTTTTCGAGACAGGGTTTCTTTGTGTAGCCCTGGATGTCCTGGAACTAGCTCTGCAGAGCAGGTTGGCCTCGAACTGACAGAGATTTCCTGCTTCTACTGGGACTAAAGGAGTGTGGCCACACGGCCCAGGCGCCATGGTAGTTATTGCCTGTAATCCCCAGTACTTGTGAGGCTCAGGCGGGGGTTCATGGGTTCAAAGCCAACCTAGGCAACCCAGTAAGTTCCAGGATAACCTGAGCTACTTCTGTGAGACAGGGCTTCACAATGAACAATGAAAGTCATGGGCATGGAAGGGGATTCCGTCAAGGAAGAAAGGCTTGGGAAGGGTGACTAACAGAACTGTCCTGTGGGAGGAGGGCGGCAATACAGAAAGTGTTCTGCAGATACGCATTCAACAGAGGAAGGAAGACCAAAGAGACACTGCAGAGCCTGGGAGAGCACATGAAGGGGATGTGCTTCTAAAGGGGGAAGGAAACTCAAGAGTGAAACTATCTTCAAGGGCAGAAAAGCTTAAAGGAAAGAAAGAGGGGACAGGAAGGAGCACCTGTAATCTCAGCTCGGTTCCAAGGCAGGAGGATCATGAATTTAAAGCCAGCCCGGACTGCACAGTATTTCCTGGATAGCTACACAGCAAGACCTGGTCTCAGAACAGGAAGACTGGCTACCTGGATGGCTCAACACTTGCAGCCACGAGTGACCACCTGAGTTTGGTTCCTAGAACCCACGAAGTGGAAGCAGAGAAATAACATCCTTCAAGCTGTCCTGTGATTGTCACATACATGTTATGACACACACCAAATAATATTTTTTTCAATTAGAAAAAAGGACAAGCTGGAAAACGGGTGGGTGGGAGGTGCCCAAGGACGACCCTATTTAGGAATGGGAGGATTCAAGGGAAAGGTGTGCCCAGCCCTGCTGCACCCCCCTCGAAAAGAAGAGCATCTCAAACCCTGAAGAGACCCAGAAAGCAAACGCACTCTCAGACAGGAAAGCCAGTCTCCCCCAGGAAACAAGTTAGCTTGGAGAACACAAGAAAAGAATGCACCCCAAGGACAGACTTAAGGACAAGTCAATGAATTCTGTTACAGGAGAAACCGGAAACTACATGCCATAAGCATGAGGATTTGGACTAGAACCTGAAAAAGATGCTCACCCCAGACCGCAGTACAAAGCAAAACAAAACTGGCCCTCAAATTCACTAACTTCTAAAGCATGCCAGATTTGAGGCCTGAAAAGAAGGATTCTTTTCCTCAGAGTTATGGAATATAATAAAGTATTCCAAAACTTTGGTTACTGACCTGACTTCTCAGGGACCTATCAGCAGACTGAACCCCAAACTGAAAAGGGAGAACTGTTAATTAGGTTTGAATATGGGAATGTTCCCTCAGTATTGGGGAGCAAAGAAAAGCGAGGATGCCTCAGTCCGTTCTTAGGGATGGTTAGAAACTGAGAAAATCCCAGGACTACATTTTGAAGGAAGGGGAGCGACGCCCAGGTTTTCCAAACTATAGAGAAAGGGGACACTCCCATATACAGGGTCTTGAAGAAAGGGCGTGCTTCCCAGAGCAGGATAAGAAAGGCACTACGCAAAAACGTGTTCCCGCCGCACAGGCAGCAGTGTAGGCTGCGCCTTAATCTCACGGGCCAAGCTGGGGGTGCAGCTCCAGCACCCCTCCCCACCCCCACAGCCCCGTTCCGCGCCCCGGGCCCGCACCTCGCAGCCCAGCCCCCTCGGGCCGCGCTGATTGGCCGCGGTGGCCGTCACTCCCGCGGGCAACTGCAGTGATTGGGTGGAGCTCGCACGCCCGCCACGCTCACAGCAGCGGTCCCCGGGCCTCCCTCCGGGGCTGGGTGATCGGGGGCCAGACGGGGAGCGGGTCTGAACAAGGCTCCCGCAGTAGCGGGGGAGTCCCGCCCCGGTCCAGCCCGCAAGGCGCGCGCGCGGCACAGGGCCTGCCCCCGCCACGGCCCCAACCAGCTGGCTTCGCGTCGCCGCGCCTCGCCACGAGCTCACCTCACAGCCCCGCTCCTGCTGCGCCGCTCCAGGACCAACCGACAGAAGGACTGTGCGCGCTGCGCACCACGTGACCCCGGGGACGCGCCCAGCGTATCCCCCGCCCCCTACACACACGCACCATCGCCACCACCGAGTGACGCAGCGGCCGGGCGGCCCCGCCCCGCCCGGTCACCGAGACAACAGCGCGAGCAGGCCACGCCCATCTCCCTGACGCGGGAACACCAAGTCGGCACTCACCCGTGACCGCTGAGGTCACTGGAAGCCGGGGCCTGGGTGCTGCCCATCTACCGTCTTAATTCGTCTCCTTAATGTCTCTGGAAGTCACCCACTTTCCTCCAGCCTCCTGTCACCGCTCTCCACGAAGATCGTGGTCTTTACAGCTCATTACTTTCCCTCTTCCAATCCGTCCTTCACACGCGAGGGCTTTTCAAAACGCCTTGTTCCCTTCTCCCAGATGAAGAGCTAGGTCTTCAAGCTCGATTGTCACCAGCTTTCTCATTCTCACACACCCAGTCCGCCCAGTGTGCTCCGCCTCTTTGAAGACCTCGACTGAGCCTTCTTAGCTCTGTCTTTGCTCTCATCACTAGAAAAGGATTCCAATGGCTGCTGGGAGAGGTGTGAGGGGGGGGAGTCTGTACTTTGTCTCTACGGACCAACGTCCGAGATGCAGCCACAACAAAAGAGAGGTTTTCCCAGTGGGACTCAGCAAGTGCCAACAAGAAGTGTTAAAATTGCTATTTCCAGGAGCGGTCATGACTTGATTTGACACTGGAAGCAACCAAACTTGTGCTTCTTAAATTGTATGTCCAATCACATCGCTTCCCTATGCTACTTAACCTATCAATCAATCTACCCTTCTGTATCCTGTGCCTTTGCTTATCTGACTACACTTTGTGTCGTTCTATTTGCCTTTCATGTTTGTTTGAAACAGTGTCAGTGTGCAGCAGTGGCTAATCTGGAACTCAGTACATAGAAAAGGTTAACCTTGAACTCACCGTAATCACTGCCCCTGGAGTGCTGAGATTAAAGACATCGTCCACACAAAAACACAGCTCTCAAGTCAAAAGAAGTAAGAGATAGTTTTTGGAGCCAAAGTGCGAGTGATTATGCCTTGGGAAAAACAGATTTAAATTACTTACTTCATAGAAGTAGTTTCATGGCATTTTTATAGCAACAGAACAAAGAAAGTTACAAACCAAGGCATTTTAAAAATACATTAGCCACCCCTACCTCCAGCATTGGTGGTGCATGCCTTTAATCCCAGCACTCGAGAGTCAGAGGCAGGCAGATCTCTGTGAGTACAAGGCCAGCCTGGTCTACAGAGTAAGTTACAGGACAGGCTCCAAAGCCACAGAGAAATCCTGTCGGGGGGGGGGGGGACACTGCACTTTGCCTTAGGGCATACCGTTTGTGGTCTGGGTAGATTTTCTCTTTTTAGTGATTAGACTAAGAATGCTTTTTTCCTCCTTCTACTTGCCTCCTTAGAATATTGCCAAATACTGGAAATATAATGACTGCACTTAGTTCTCCTCATCCTCACTTAGGGAGTAGTTAAAGCCTGAAGAACTCAGAAACTTTCCATCAAAGTCAGTTTGGAAAGACCTCAGGGTGGGGCCAAGACTCAAGTTGCCTGGGGCCGGGCTTTGTGGGGCTGAGGCTTTGGGGACTCCAGTCTCTGCAGCTCCACCTTTCTGAGTTCTCATGTGCTCTGATGGCAGGCAGAGCTCTCTTGTGGGTGTGTTGTTGGTTGTTGGGCTGATGTGATGAGTTCTATATGAGAGCTAAGGAGCTTGCTTTTTTATTTTGATTTTCCCATCATTTTCATGACAGACATCATTGTAAATGTGCTGAGGTTGTGTATTAAGGGGGCCAGGGCCAGGCTTGACGGTAAAATGAGACAAAAGAACCCAGACTAAAAAAGAAGAAAGGGGCTAGAGAGATGGCTCGGGGCATGAGAGTGCTTGCCACCAACGCCTGGTTTAAATATATTTTTTAAAAGGTATTAGGGGCTGGAGAGATGACTCAGTGGTTAAGAGCACTGATTGCTCTTTCAAAAGACCAGGAGTCAATTCCCAGCACCCACATGGCATTTTATAACTCCAATTCCAGGGTATCTGACACCTCACATGAATACACATAAAATAAAGTTAAATAAATCATTTAAAAAATAAGCCGGGCGGTGGTGGCGCACACCTTTAATCCCAGCACTCGGGAGGCAGAGGCAGGCGGATCTCTGTGAGTTCGAGGCCAGCCTGGTCTACAAAGTGAGTTCCAGGACAGCCTCCAAAACAATGCAGAGAAACCCTGTCTCGAAAAACCAAAAAATAAATAAATAAATAAATAAATAAATAAATAAATACATGCCGGGCGGTGGTGGCGCACACCTTTAATCCCAGCACTCGGGAGGCAGAGGCAGGCGGATCTTTGTGAGTTCGAGGCCAGGCTGGACCGACAGCCTCGAAAACAATACAGAGAAACTCTGTCTCGAAAAACCAAAAAAATAAAAAATAAATACATTTTTTGCCGGGTGTTGGTGGCACACGCCTTTGATCCCAGCACTCGGGAGGCAGAGGCAGGCAGATCTCTGTGAGTTTGAAGCCAGTCTGGTCTACAGAGCTAGCTCCAGGACAGTCTCCAAAACAATACAGAGAAACCCTGCCTCGAAAAACCAAAAATAAAAATAAAATACATAAATACATTTGGGGGGGGTTTCGAGACAGGGTTTCTCTGTGGCTTTGGAGGCTGTCCTGGGACTAGCTCTTGTAGACCAGGCTGGCCTCGAACTCACAGAGATCTGCCTGCCTCTGCCTCCCAAGTGAATAAATACATTTTTTTAAAAAGGTATTAAAGCTGACTATAGTGGCATGCATCTTTAATCTTAGCATTCAGGAGGCAGAGGCAGAGGCAGGGGCAGCCTGGTCCGCATGGTGAGTTTCAGGATAGCCAGGCCTATGCACGAGAGACCAAGTCTCAAACACACACACACACACACACACACACACACACACACACACAAAGAAGCAAAGAAGGGCCATTCACTTTATTTCAGATGTTTAACAATGCTGCAATGAACAATTCCACTAATGATAATCATTCTTTTTAGTTGTTTGTTTGTTTGTTTGTTTTTGGTTTTTCAAGGCAGGGTTTCTCTGTATTGTTTTAGAGCCTGTCCTGGAACTGGATTGATAGACCAGGCTGGCCTCTGAGGGCACCCAGCACACACTTAGTATACAGACATACACGAAGGTAAAATATTCATATAAATAGACTAGTTTTTCTCCTTAAACTGGGTCTCACTGTATCACATTGTCTAGCCTCGAGCTTGTTATATAGACCAGGCTAGCCTTGAACTCATAGAGATCCAACTACTTCTGCCTCCTTAGTACTATGATTAAAAAAAGTAAAATAATTTCAAAAATAAAGGAGATTCAGGGCTATGGTGGAGCATAACTTTTAATCCCAGCACTCAGGAAGCAGAAGCAGGCAGATTTCTTTGAGTTTGAGGCCAGCCTGCCTTACAGAGTGAGTTCCAAGACAGCCAAAGCTATGCATAGAAACCCTGTCTTGAAAAATTGATAGATAGATAGATAGATAGATAGATAGATAGATAGATAGATAGATAGGGTGAGTAACCCTTTTGTGATTATGCACTCTTTTAATTCCAGTATGTGGGAGGCAGAGAGAGGCAGCCCACTTGGCTATTTGGAACACTCCTTTATCTGAGTTTTTGTCCTACCACATGCCTGAGGGTAAGTCTCTCATTTTTTTCAGAGTCCACATTCCTATAGCTTTAATTTTCCTATGATGCATTATATATTTGTCTGTTAGTAATCTGTCTCAAAGCATGTTTCCTGCCCTTAGGACACACCGTCCTTAAAACAACAAGCCTTTGCTTGGTTTATTGCACAGGTTTCCTGAGGTTGTGGGTTAGATTCCCCAGTAAGGGACAGACTAGAGCATCTTACAAGGTTAAATATTTTTTTTGTTTTCTTTTTCTTTTTTTTTTTTTTTTTTTGGAGACAGGGTTTCTCTGTGGCTTTGGAGGCTGTCCTGGAACTAGCTCTTGTAGACCAGGCTGGCCTCGAACTCACAGAGATTCACCTGCCTCTGCCTCCCAAGTGCTGGGATTAAAGGTGTGCGCCACCAACGCCCAGCTTTTTTTTTTTTCTTTTGTTTTTGGTTTTGGTGTTTTTTTTTTTTTTTTTTTTTGGTTTTTCAAGACAGGGTTTCTCTGTGGCTTTGGAGGCTGTCCTGGAACTCACTCTGTAGACCAGGCTGGCCTCGAACTCACAGAGATCTGCCTGCCTCTGCCTCCCGAGTGCTGGGATTAAAGGCGTGCGCCACCACCGCCTGGCTCTTGGGACTTCTTGGCCCTAGCACCAAATTGTGACAGCTGAGACATTCGGTCTCCTGGAATGAACAGCTAGCAGGTCCTTTACCTTTCTGTAAGAAGACAGCTATTGTTGGACTACTCAGAACACAACCTGTAAGACAGTCTAATAAATCCCCATATACCTGAGGATTCAGAAAACAAAGTCAGCCTCAAGTCATAGAAACCAGGCACACACCTAATCCCAGCAGCCAGAAGCTAGGAAGAGGCAGGTGGATCTCTGTGAGTTCGAGGCCTGCCTGGTCTACAGATCGAGTTCCAGGACAGCCAGCCTCCAAAACAATACAGAGAAACCCTGTCTCTGAAAAAGAAACAAAAAACAAATCATGCCTTTAACCCCAGCACTAGAGGGTTATAAAAGATAGAAGCAAGGTCTTCAGTAGTCAGTATCAATCATTCATTCTCCAGCCACACTGTAGACAGGAAGGCTCAGCATCAAGGAGGATAGGAAGACATTGAAGTCTCAGGATTCTCCAGTCATGCTGAGGAGAGGTAGCAGTTTGAGACTTGGTAAAGAGCTTATGTGTAGATCAGCCCTTCCAGCCTGAACTTGAGGTGAGAGCTAGTGGCCAGCTTCTTTGCTTTTCTGTCCTTCAACTTGGAGTTTGAACCCCAATATCAGTCTCTGGGTCTTCTATTTTTCGTGTTATAATAAGTTTTACTTATATTTTTGGTTGTGAGCCTAGCCTTTAACTGCTGAGCCATCTCTCTAGGCCACAATACGTTTTTTTTTTTTTTCTTGGTTTTTCGATACAGGGTTTCCCTGTGGCTTTGGAGGCTGTCCTGGAACTCAGACCAGGCTGGTCTCGAAATCACAGAGATCTGCCTGCCTCTGCCTCCTGAGTGCTGGATTAAAGGCATCTAGTAACTAATATGCCCTGGATAGGTTACAGGTGATGGGTGACTAGGGGAGCAAGGGTGGTGCTTTTTTTGTTGTTAACTATAAACAAATGTTTAATCTAGTTTGTAAGATTCTCTGAAAATATCTGGGAAAGTAATACAGCCACACTTCAAGGCCAATATGCTTAGACCTTAAGTATGGTTCATTGCTATTTTACCATCATTTGAAAATCATATGTAAAGGGAATATTGTTTCTATGTCAACAAC